GTTGCTACTTGCAATTCAAATTCAAGATTACAGAGTTTCACTTAAACTCTTTATTATGCATTTCCTTCTTCCATGTGAAAAAGTCTGATTTTCAAGTGTATAGGATAAAATTAGTAACAGAATTTGAGCAGTCCATACTTACTTGTTTGTTTTATCCCATAGTAAACTCACAGCAGTGTCAGAATAATATGAAATATAGTTTTTAGTATTTATCATGTCTTCTTGTTCAAGGGCTTACATTATCTGTACCTCTCTTCAATATTTGTTGTCACTGTCTCTAAAATCCTTTTATTGTTTTTGATTTTTAAGGATTCTCATTTTTTTCATCTTCTGTTTCTTGTAAAGCATTGCATTTGTGTGATTGGCTCTAGAGTTCCTTCTAGTGAGTTTTCGTTTGGAAATGTTTCCTTTCATCTTTAATTCTCTACTGAGTACTGTCATCTCATATCTGAGTTGCTCTAGTTCAGATTTATGTTCTTTCATGTTTTGCGTCATTGTCTTTTAGCTTGTTTTGAAATACTATGGCTAAATATTTTTTTTATCTTTTTTTGGAAGGGAAGGAATGTCTGTCTGGCATGTTTACTTTCTGAGTTGTTATTCTGTTTCTTATTTCTCTTTTTTATTGTAACTCTGTGTGAGATTTGACCTCAATATTTTTCATTGTTCATTTTATGTGAAGTTAGGTTTTTCTGAGCATTTCAATTTTGATAGGCTTCAGAATAACTTTTCTAACTTTACAGAACTTTCTCTTCTGTTGTTTGTGTATAGTGTTTTAAAATATGACTGCTTGTTTTCTGAGATTACCTGGATTTATTTTCTTTTCCACTCTGTTTTAGACCTTCTCTATGTTTCTCAGATCCTTATTCTGTTGAATATAATTGTACTGCCAGATATTTCTCTTCTGTGTGATGTTATGTCCTGTAATGGAGCTTCCTTGAAAGTCTCTAGGACTTGGGACTGCTTTTGTTTATTAATCCTTTTTTTAAAATCTTGATCTGTCACACAAGTTAAAATGGTTGAGAGGACAAAATTCTCCCAATCTCAACTGTTCTTCTCTAACTTGTCTGCTGTGCTTTCCTGTGAATTCTGTTTCTTATTTTGGGTTTTCCTGTTCTTGGTTCTTCATTACCTCTTTCTTCTACCTCCTCCTCTGACTCTGATAGTCTGAAAATTTTCTGACTCTTACTGTTTTATGCCCATTCTGATTGTATTGCGGTTTGTAGGGCTATCATGCCGTTTAGATGTTTTTTTTTTTCTTTTAAATTTGTTTTCTAGTTTTATTTGGTTTTATATAGTGATGTGGAGATAGTGAAAACTGTTGCCACTGCTCCCTTTGTTCCAGAGTGCCGTCCAGTGTTAACATAGCAGAAACATACACGAGTAGGTAACTGACAGCAGCAGTTTCTTATGCTGGAGAACAGAAAGGATGACCAATATAAACCAATGTGCTGCTTCTGGAGTGAAATCAAGGAAAGCCCTCATGATTTGGTTGAAGCCTTCCTCAGTAAGGAGCTTACTAGCTTACTATTTTACTTTAATTTAATATTTTTTATTCCTTTGTGTGTGTGTGTGTGTGTGTGTGTGTGTGTGTGTAGTCTGGTTTTACTGTTTGCAAACATGACAGTTGGTCCAGAAGCTGGACTGTGTATTCTTGCTGTTTATTAGTGTTCTGGGAACAGGCCATGTTTGTGGAAGCCAGGCTTTGAAATTCTTCTAACATACCTCTTGTTACATCTATAATAGTATCTGCTTAGGCGCATTCTAGCTTTGCAGTCTTATGATACCCTTTTTATTTCTACTAAAACTGCAGCCTGGGATTTTTAAATTTTTGATTTAATTTAATTTTTTATTAACAAGTGTCTTAATACAGCTTTTGTGCTTATACTGTAAACAAAATGTAAGATATTTTCCCAAGGATTTGTTTAGTTCATCATATCTGTTTCTTGGGACGATACAGAAGCAAGGGAACTTGACTTCTTGTCACCTCTTTACCCATTCCTTTAAGTTACGTAAGCCTATCTTGTAGGTGATACTGATGAAAATGTACCACTTAAAGATAAGTCAGTATTTGAATTATAGTCCTAATTTAATTTGAAACTTAGCTTTCCATTAGAAAGTTCCAAGATTCTAAATGAAAGTCTGAATTAATCAATGCAGACTGTGGTTGCTTTGAGAAATGTGTTTGCACTAAGTGGTCTAAATTGCTGTATATGCTCACTTAGAGTTACGGAAACGTAATGGTTTCTCCTTTACAGTTTATTTAGGGTAGCAGTTGAGGCACTTGCTAGCATCTCTCTAAGTGTACTGTCCACCATTTAAAATTGGGCAAAGAGGCACATGGTAACTCTCTAACTTTGTATTTTAGCCTATTTTATTTTGAATAAAACCCTTTGGATAGTTCCTAACCTAAAACATGTTTTGTTACAACTTCCTCAAAAGATACCTTCCTTCATATCAGCAGTACAAAAGGTCTAGTTATGTCTGTAAACAACCATTCACAGATTTAAGACAATTGCTTTCCTATCACTAGAGTTAGGGTGAACATAGAAGATTGTTGGCTCATCTCAGTGGAATGAGGTGAAGAGCATAGCTTGGGTATTGGTATGTCTGTTTCTACATACAAACTCTACTCATTGGATAGTTTTCATACCTGTATATGCCTTCATTTCCTCATTTATAAAATGTGGCAGTAATGGTACCTATGTATGATATAGGCTGAAGTGGAGGTTGATGTGAGGTTTAAATGAGATACTGCATATACATGGTAGATCCTCAACTATTGGTTTAGTAAGTAAAACTTGAGTATTTATGGTGTATTAGGCAGTATACTGGGAAACTGGGATATTAAAATGAGTTTGGAGCTTTACAGTATAAGTGAGGGAACTAATTAATTAGTCATCTCTTGAAGAGTATGAAATTGTGACCTCCGTAAGTGTAATAGAGAGGTATATGGGCCTCCAGGGGCGTATAATAGGGACTTGAGCTGTCTGAGAGGTTAAGGAATGTTTTCCTTAAGAAGACTGTAAAGAGCTGAAGAAAAGGTGGGAATGAAATAGGGAAAGTATGTGTTTGCTGCATGTGTGGAGAAACTCAGGTAGAATAAGAGTATCTCAGACAGAAGAAAGAATATGGAGACTAGCTCTGTGGCAAGGGGGATCTCGGTGGATATGAGGATCTGCAATAAGGACACAATGTGAAGAGAAGGGTACAGTGATTGATGTTACTGGGGATGATGCTGGATAGGGAGAGTGGGAGAAGGGTCACAACCAGAGGGTCCTTACAGGCTTTGTTTAGGAATGGCATTTAACAGATATTTGAATTCTGGAGCAATATTTGCAATGATCTATTATTGGTGTTCTTGCTGCTATTCTTTTTATTCCTTGGCAATCTTCCCCATACTAAACATGTTTATATTCCTTAATATTTATTCATTGTTTTCTTCCCCAATCTCTAGTATTGTTCTAGCGCTCATTCCTCCTCAGTTCTTTCATTTAGGAACAAAGTTGAAAAGATTGCTTTGTTTTCTTTCAATCAATTATAGGGTTTAAAGTAGAATTTCCTTTAGTCTAACTTTAGGCAAGATAAATGAAAAACAGTTGCCAAAATGTTACCTTATTTGCCTGACTGACTTAAAGTAGAAATTACTAGAAATTTTTGTGTACGATGTTAGTAGGAATCTCAAAGTGATTCCCCATGTTGTGATCTTACCCAGAAAATGTAAAACTAAGGGCATTTCTGTGTGAAGTATTAGGAGCTTGAAAGGTGGCTCTTATGTGTATGCACTTGGGTGCATGCACGTGTGTGTGTGTGCACGCACACACATGCATAGTTTACTTTCATTGATCTGAAATTTGTTTGTGAAGACTAATGTGGGAGCCAGGAAGTTCCAGAAATTAAAGGCCATAGTACTTCTATTTTAAAATAAAAGCATAGCTGTATCACATTAGGCCATGTAAATATGATGGTCCTGAGTGATGGAGAAAGTCTGTGTAGCCATGAGATGCCCTGGGCCTTACACTGATGGCGGTGACATCAGTGTTTTCCTTCCCAGTGCTCTTTGGTCCAGTCCTCTAGCATCTGCTGTGTATAAAGGTGCTTGCTTTGGGTTCTTATCCAGGATGAGAGTTGTTAATCATTTCTGCAAATGTAATTTAAGCACAATTCTTGAATATATGCAATGACTTTACATTTTATATAATATACATCTTAACAGAAATTTTCTGAGTATAATTATACAACTAAAAAGTGCTTTGAATGGTAAGGATCGTCTCTAGCCACTACATGGTGAGTCGAGTTTCAGGTACTGGATTTGGACCCATGGTAGGGGACTTGATTCTCTATCTCATCACTATATATATATTTTTTAAAGCAGAACTATCACTTTATGTTAAAGGTCATTTAAACAGTAAACTCTTTAGTACATTTAAATTTTGATTTCTCTGGGGGAAGGAGTTAAATCTCATCACTATTGCATATGATAGTTTATTCCACAAGAAGTGCACATGGATAGGAATTGAAGAATCAGGTAAAGTTTGTCTATTTTTTACCCGTATTTGATGTCTAAAATTTCATTTAATTCCTCAGCAAAAGTAACTGTGTGAGTCCAAATATTTATTCATAAATTATAGAGAATTATAAATAAATTTACTTGAAATAATTTTGGCCACATTTAAAAAATAAGCAAAATATAACTTTTCTTGATTTAGTACTATATGTACATAATGGTTTGCATTTTATTGAATAGACATACTTAATATTTCACCAAGAAGTAAAAAAAAACAAAACATTTGAACAAAAAGCGAATGATTTAGAATACTTTGTTCATGATTATGTTCATGGACATTGGATAAAGTTTCTTATAGTAAATGTTTCAGTAAATCAATTCTTCATGTAGAACATGAACCCTTATGTCCATGGCTGATCATAATGCCTGTCATATAACATATAACATTTGTTAAGTAAACAGGTAATCACTCTGGGAAATATTATGTGTGTTCCAGGACCCGATCTTCAGGTTTGCATATCCAAAAAACCTACATGCTGCACCAGGAAGATGGAGGAGAGATACCAAATTGTCGCTCGCCAAGATATGCAGCAGGTGCTTCAAACAGCCAGCTCGGCATTAAAGTTTCTAATTTCTCGAAATGCAGCTGCTTTTCAAGGTAAATGAATCTTGGGTTCTGAAACTAGGAACCAACCTTGTTATGTAATTTGTCTGTGACAATTTACACATGGCTGGGTTTATTTCCTTGTATTCACGTATTATTCTGATATAAAATGAGTTGGACTGGGGAAATAGTTATATTAGTGAGTGGTCCTTGGGAATATATACCACAACAGAGTTCTTCTAGATTCCTCAATATTTCCATCTATGGTTTTACTGAAGTGTGAACAAATACAATCATTAGGCTTTATGAAAAATGTTCTGTATCATAAAATTTTATTAATTTTAATTTATTAATTTTTTTCTTTATTCACAATAGAGCACATGTGTGCACATGTGAGAGAGGCAGGAATAGGGGAGTATCTGGCACCCAGTGTCTGGTTATGCTGTTATTCTCCTCGTCCAGTCCTCCAGGTTCTGGGATCCTGAGCACTTATTCATGTGCTCAGTGTGTTTCAGGCTGACCGTGCTGGGGATTTGAATTGAATCTTGGTTGCCATGTGGGATTTGGTTTCCCTTGAGCAGTGCATTATGGCTGTACCATGGAGCTGGCCCTAAAATTCCAATGCTGTTAACTGGCTAATTACAGATTTATTTATTAAAGAATTATTTTATTTTACTTTATATATTTATTTTAATTTGACCAAGGAAGGGGAGAGCAAGAGTGAGAGGGTGAGAGAGAGAGAGAGAGAGAAGAATTAAGCCACCAGGACCAGGACTCAAACCGTGGTCAGCCATTTGGGACTCCAGTGCCCTTAACCACCATGCCACCTGCTAGCCCCTATAGATTTACTTTTTTAAATGTAATTTGAAGAAATATTTCACTAAAATTTCTCTCTACAACCTCATGCGGTTTTCATAACACCAGTGCTATATATAAATGTGCAGCCATGCCTGATAAATAGTAATAAAGGAAATATTAATAGGATGTTTAAGGGTCAGCTAAAGCCAGACTGAACATAAATGCAAACAGTATTATTCAGAAATAAAATTAATGAGTTATAAAATTGCAAGGCTTTTCAAAAAATAGATGATCTTTTTCTTACTCTTTTATCTGTTCTATAAAATTTGTTATTGCTATAATAATTTATTTTTCCTTTTTATAAAACATTAGCTATTCTATATATGACTGGAATGGAAACATCTAGATTACACAGATTTTCAAGCAAATCTATTGTTTTCGTTCAATGCTGATTTTTACTTTTGTTGGTATTCTTTTTAAATAAGTATATTAATGTCAATCTACTTAAATAATTTGCTTTGTTTACCTAAGTGACTAAATCACAAAGCTAATTAATTTTTAAAACTATACTTATTAAATAAAATAAGTGTAATAAATCAGAATAAAATTGAGTTGAGTTAATGTGTAACTCATGTTGAATTGATTTTTTTGTAGAAAGCATTAAATGTCATATATTAAGATGTTATTAAATTAGCATTTTCATAGATGCCTTAAAAATCAACTTAAAATTTTTGTTATATAATTTATATCAAATTGTTGAAGGAAAGTTTATTGCTATGCATTTTGAACAAAAATCTATGACCTAAATAGGCTAAGTTAGAAGGTTTTAACCACCCACTGAAAGAGATAAGAAAGATGTATTTTTCTTGAAAAATGATAGTATGTACAATATGGAAAATACACTTGAAGAGTAAATGGACAATGAAAAGATAAGTATGAATAGAACAGGGACTTTGTGGTTATTGGTTAGTTGCTTGAAAGATGAACTGGACTTACACTGAAAAAACTAAAAACATAAACATCTCTTTTGTTTGTTTGTTTGTTTGTTTTTGCTATAAGGCACACGGGCTCACCAGAGAGACAGAGAGAGACAGAGAGACTGAAAGTGAGAAATCACCCCTCAGGCCATGCTACAGCCCTTTCTCCATTTTCCTCTAGGGATTTTGGACACGCACACATATGTGCCTGGTGTGTTTCAAGCCTCCGTATCTGGAACTCAAACCACAGTTGTTCATCTGGGAGTCCAGCAGCATAACCATTCTGCCATCTGCTGGTCCCAACTGTTTCACATCTTTTATCAAAACTAAACCTCTGGGCTGGCCCCCTGTCTTAGTGGTTAAGGGAGCCTGACACCATATGGTCAACTGCATAGTTCAAAACCAGACCCCATGGCTTGAAAAACACTCCAGGTGTATGTGCATGTATACCCCAAATTCCAACAGGATGTAAAAACAGGAAGAAACTATTGCAGTGCAACCATGCTCCATTGGGAGATGCTTTCACCCTCATTTCCTCTGTGTGTCTCTCCCTCTCAGCAAATGCCTCAGGAAAATACACTTGAAGAGTAAATGGACAATGAAAAGATAAGTATGAACAGAATAGGGACTTTGTAGTTATTAGTTAGTTGCTTGAAAAGCAAAAAGTTTTTTTTTTTTTTTGGAAAAAAGCAAACAGACATGAAACCCCAAATGAAACAACTATTATTTCTCTATGTAAGAATACATGACTGGGGGCCAGCAGGTGGCATGGAGGATAAGATGGTGGATCCCAAATGACTGATTGTATGGTCTGAGTCCCAGACACAGCCCCTTGAGAAATATGCCAGGCATAAGTGCCTGCATGGCATGAATTCCAAGAGTAGAATGGAGGAAAAGGGATTGTGGTGTGGCCGTCCCCTTGGGGGGTGATTTCTTACTTTCCCTCTTTGTCTGTCTCTGTCTTTTTCTGGTGAGCACTCGTGTCCTACAGCAAAAACGGCAAAAAAAAAAAAAAAAAAAAAAAAGAATATACCACCTTACTACCTACTATTTTGGATAGCAATATTAACCATATAGATGAAGAAAGAAAGTACCATCAGTTATCAGAACTAGTCAATTTTCATTGATTCTTTTCTTTTGTCTTCAAAGATACTGTAGCAGACATTTCACATATACTTGGATAAATTGGCGAGATAGGGCTCATTAACTGCAAAAGCTTGGGAAACCTGGACTACTTAGACTCTTAAAATGGGTTGCGGCTCCTGAACAGTTCTGGTGATATTGCTGAATGTTTGGTGGTCACTATCCCTGTAGTAAAACTATATGTGAAAGTATGGGATTGTCTCCTTGTACCAGAGTGTCAGGTAACTTTATGTAAGCTTTTGTTCTTTTCTACTTAATAAATTGTACTTGCTATATTTGATAGGCTGAGTTTTGCTGTTTGTTTAATAAATAATTATAAAAAAGAAAAATGGTAGAGACATTCTTAAATATGATTTATTATAATAAATTCTAATTTTCTTCCTTTGTGGAATGTCAGGATATATTTAAGAATTGTGAGAAGACAAGACAAATTTGGAAGAAATTTGCCTATAGGCTAACTTTATTGAAACAAAGTCTCTTATAAGAATACCTGTTTTTAAATTTAATTAATAGAATATGTAGCTTTAAGCTTATTTTAATAAAAACAAGCTTAAATATATATGCTAAAGTATATGAGAGCTCACATCTGCTGTATCATCTCTGAGCAGGCTACTTTATCAATAAGTAAAATCCCCTTCATCTAGTTTCTGTGCAACAAATCAAAGTCTTCATTTTTATGAGAAAGAGGTCAATGCCTTGGAAAGCAGTCTGCTTGAGAGAAATTTAGCAAAGAAATTAATTCACTTTTCTAATGATGTCAGGTAGATTTGCTACATTTTGATCTTTTAATCTCTAAATATTTCATTTATATTTGCTATTTCAGCAGTGCTAAACTTTTTTTTTTTTTTTCTTTTTGGTAGTATTGTGGGATATAAATGCAATCAGACTGGGGCCAGCAGGTGGCATGGTGGTTAGGGTGCTGGACTCCCATAGCTCCAGTCCCAGACCTGGTAGCTTGAAAATCATGCTGGGCATGTGTGCATGCATGGCCAAAATCCCAAGAGAGGATGGAGAAGAAGGAATTATGGCATCGCTATCCCTCCGAGAGTGATTTCTCACTTTTCCTTTCTGTCTCTCTCCAGTGAGCATACCTGCCCTATTCCAAAGACCTTAAAAAGTAATTAATAATAAAAAAAAGACATCGACTAGGCTAAAGTATGGTCCCTTCTCTCATAGACTTTAATGGGGCCCCAGTAGATACATGTTTTCACAGGAACCCCTGATTCTGGCTGATAGGGATTAGCATTTGGGTCCATGGATTTAGACGGCCCCACATGACTGTTCAGTGAAGACTGGAATGACGGAAAGTGTGCAGGAGAGAGTGGAAGCCATGCTGGCAAGGGTGCTGGAAGAAATGGAAGATTGGTGTATAGTTCACATTCAGCTCTGGGGCCTGCCTGCATACTGGTTAGGCTAGGATCTGCCTCTGGGACAACCCTCCTACTTTTTAAAGGATTTCTTTGGTATTTGTTTCAGTTACATTTCCTTAAAATATACAAAACAGCTAAACAAAAATCTGTTGTTGGAAGGGCCCATAATTTTGACCTGGGATTTCACTATATCCTAAAGGCAGTCATTCATGTGGCATTTTGTAAGACAAAAGGAGTAAGCTGATACTTTTGTGTGTTGCTGTTCATAAATAAGTGGTGCTTTTTGCAAAGAGGAACCCTTACTTTGTCACAGTAACTGTTCTTTATTTTCAGGAGCTTAACAGTGTTTATGGATAAAGCTGAACAGCCTGGGATAATGCAAGTGTGTTTTCTTTGGCTGTTTTTACTATGAGTTTGATTGCTTTAAAAATATTTTGGAAATATTTTTTATAAATGTTTTATTTATATACTGAAGTATGGTATGACTTACGATGAAACAGGAGAAATTGACAGAGAACATATTGTCTTCTAGGAAAAACTTATCCAACTTTGAAATTTGTCAGTTTTTGAAATGTCATTCAAATGAGATAATCAAGTTTAGTTTTCTAACTTAAAGTAATACAGAAATTTCAACATCCCTTTCGAAAATAAAATGAAGAAATATTTTCAAGGACACTGTTGGAAGCTCATGTTTTGTTTAAACATTGGTAAACTAAGGTTTTCTGTCTCTCTCCAGTGAGCATACCTGCCCTATTCCAAAGACCTT